ATTTTGTTGAAAATATGCGTGTGTGTGGGCATATGTATATCTCAACATCTATTGGACATTTCTATTTATATCTGGAGGTGTTCGTATGTTGATTCCAGGATGTTTTGTGTCAGAATGGAAGAATTTAAATTATACAGGTAAATTTTCTCTATCTACAACCACTGGTTTAACTTAAACTGTCTCACAAAGCAAAATAAATTAAATTTGTAAATGTTTTTCTGTTTGTTCTGTATACTAACAAAGATAGTTTAACGAAGCACATTGACCATAAATTACTGGAGTATTGCATACTCCAGATAAGGATATTTTTTAGCAAAATGTTCGCAATATTATGAAAATACAAGTAAAACATTAATAGTGAACAAATAAGTAAAACTTCCAATGACTTAACTTCTGCCTTTGTACAGTTTTGTCGAAACATGGATCTGTTCATCAGGGTATGGTAAATCTAACTGAATTTATTTATAAATGTTTATTTTAAATATGTTACATAAAAAAATTAATTGCTGACATCAGCTAAGTTTTAAATTTGTCTGTCCTAAAAATATTAACAAAATTTCAATATGACTTATAGCAGTAAACATACCCATTATATAATCAGTTTCAGATTAGATGATGTCACATTATCAGGCAAAAACAAATTTAAAAGTTTGCTGATGTTAGAAATTAACTTTTTTTATACAATTTATTAACAGATATCCTGTTTATCTTAGATAATGCAATTTATTTAAGATAAATGTGATATTTGATTCATCATACGCTGATGAGTGGACCTGAGATAAGTCATTGAACTTTTTATTTACCTTTTCTCTCTCTCTCTCTCTCTCATATATATATATTTATATATATATATATGTGTGTGTGTGTGTGTGTGTGTGTGTGTGTGTGTGTATTTAGGCAGCAATTCTTCTTTCATGCATATTTCATTGAAAATGACAGACAAGGTGCTTTTATTTAGTTTTTTATACAATTTCTCATGCCATCTAATTTTTCTTTTTTTTCAGATGATAAATTATATAAAAACTCTCATATATATATGTTGTCAATTGACTCCAAGCAATAATGCCACTAAGACACAAGGTTCCACTGGGAGTAAAAGAGAAGACTTTAGTGAGGAGAAAAGACAATAAAAGTTCCCAATTCGGTATTTACGCAGTTGACACAACCATTTACTCCTGCCTTAGTAGTCAATGCAACAGATCTGTAGTAAAATAAATGTAGCAACTATTCTTTAAAAGGACCTCAAATCAGTGGTTAACTGGGGCAAGAAGTGGCTTGTAAATTTCAATACTTAAATCAGTGGTTAACAGGGGCAAGAAGTGGCTTGTAAATTTCAATACTTAAATCAGTGGTTAACTGGGGCAAGAAGTGGCTTGTAAATTTCAATACTTAAATCAGTGGTTAACTGGGGCAGAAACAAAGGCTTGTGGTTTCAATACTTAAATCAGTGGTTAACTGGGGCAAGAAGTGGCTTGTAAATTTCAATACTCAAATCAGTGGTTAACTAGGGCAAGAAGTGGCTTGTAAATTTCAATACCTCCAAAACAAAACTGCTTCCATTTAATTACCATAGAGAACTTTTTCTGCCTACCATCAAGATGGCAGATGCTGAACTCCAGGGAAACAACATTCTACATCTTCTCGGCCTCACATTTTCCACTGACATGAATTGGACCGACTGTATCAAGTCAATTTCTACATCTACTGCAAAGACATTTTGTTCACTGTAATGTGCTGAAGATTTTTCTTGTCAGAATCCATCTTGCACATTTATAAATCTACCATTTTCATTGCACTGAAAACTGTTGCCATATCTGTTCTGGTGTTCCTGCTGCACATCTCGAGATCTTTGACAAAATGCATAGAAGGGTCTGTAATACAATCGATCCTGATCCAGCATCTCATCTCCAGTTACTTTCTCGCTGACATGACATGGCTTCCCTCAGTTCTACAAATATTTTCATGGCAATTGCTCGAACAAGCTTTTTTCTCTTGGTGCCTTGATTACATGAATTTAAGAAGGCTACTAGACTGGCATCTAGATTACACCATTTTACTGTTAAATCAGCTAGATGCAACCGCCATTTCTATTTTAACAGTGTCTTTTTTCTAACACTTCCCACCTGATAATTCCAATCTTGAAAAATTTAAATGCAACATTGTTGTAACCTAGGGAAGGTTACTGAATAGAATAATCACACGAATGTTAGTAATGAACGATAATATTAGGACACAAACAACATGTATAAGATTCGCCAGCAGCACACAGAAGTAGTAGTCAAGTGTTAGAAGTGAGTCAAGTGAATTCCACAAAGACTCTCCAACTGCAGACCAACATACAGTATTTACTACTGTATTTATATGAATGGGGACATATCCATTATCGTCCGTAGGTATGCTACACCAAACGTTTAATCACCATCTTCTGTCTTCTTGAAACTTGTTACTTTTTTTTGCCCTTTCCTCAATCCTCCCCATTTTCAATCTTCTCATTGTCTTTCCCTCCCTGTAACCCTCTGTGGTTTAGTGAGATTGTCATCTTGCTTGGGGTGAAACGATTAAAAAGAAAAAAAAAAAAACAGGGTCCAGCAAGACTGAAGATGCTAATTCTCTTTGCATTTCCATTTTTGAATATAGAGAAGGAAGAAATCAGAAAAGAGTTCCACAGATGAGAAGTGTAAAACTATTAGAATAGAACTTACAGTTACATCTAGCTATTTCAACAGTAAGACAATGAGACCTAGTTACTAATCTGATAGTGTGCTTAAACCCATGCAACTATGGTAACAAGGAGGAGAGCTCATTAGTACAATAGCCATGAAAATATTTATAGACAGAAGGAGAGCTCATTCAAACAATGGCCATGAAAATACTTATAGACAGAAAGAGAACTCATTAGAACAATGGCCATGAAAATATTTATAGACAGAAGGAGAGCTCATTAGAACAATAGCCATGAAAATATTTATAGACAGAAGGAGAGCTCATTCAAACAATGGCCATGAAAATATTTATAGACAGAAGGAGAACTCATTAGAACAATGGCTATGAATTTATTTATAGTCAGAAGGAGACCTTATTAGAACAATGATGAAAAAATTTTATAGACAGAAGGAGAGCTCATTAAAACAATGGCCATGAAAATATTTATAGACAAAGGAGAGCTCAATCGAACAATGGCCATGAAAATATTTATAGACAGAAGAGAACTCATTAGAACAATGGCCATGAATTTATTTATAGTCAGAAGGAGACCTCATTAGAACAATGGCCATGAAAATATTTATAGACAGAAGGAGAGCTCATTAAAACAATGGCCATGAAAATATTTATAGACAAAAGGAGAGCTCAATCGAACAATGGCCATGAAAATATTTATAGACAGAAGGAGAACTCATTAGAACAATGGCCATGAATTTATTTATAGGCAGAAGGAGACCTCATTAGAACAATGGCCATGAAAATATTTATAGACAGAAGGAGAGCTCATTCAAACAATGGCCATGAAAATATTTATAGACAAAAGGAGAGCTCAATCGAACAATGGCCATGAATTTATTTATAGGCAGAAGGAGACCTCATTAGAACAATGGCCATGAAAATATTTATAGACAGAAGGAGAGCGATATTTATTCTGTTTAATACAGAAATGTGGCACAAAAGGCCGAAAAGGGATTGGGAAAGGACGGTCTTCTTCTGTCTTAACTATAACAGCTAGCCCAACTGACCCAAAACGTCAAAACAATATTCCTTACACAAAACAACATTCATTCGTACCTTTCTTTACTACAACCACCATAATACCTCTTTTGTCTCTATGAAAATACTAACTAGTCCCCATATTTACAATTCGTGGTCTGTGGGGGGAAGGAATAAAACAACAATTCTAAAAATTAACCCCAATGAGTATTTACAATATGCATACAAAAACTATTTACAAGACAGAAGGAAATATTTATAGAAAAGACAGAAAGAAGTCACATCCCTATGGTGGGAAAGTGACTGAAGGACCAATAACGTTACAGACCCTTCTTTAGATTGTGTCAAGAATCTCAAGATATATAGCAGAAGACCAGATGTAGTAGCAATATCCAATGCATAGACAAATGGTAAATTTATAAATGTGAAAATCTTCACTTAACAGTTCATGCAATAAAGCCAACATTTTTTGTTTTTGAGCTTTTTTTTTAAAGAAATAGATTCAGCATGTTTGTCCTTAAATTTGATAATATTTTATTGATGTTAGGTTGTTAGTTTTTTATGCTTAATAAAACATGGGACTGATAAATATAGCGACATGAGACAGATAAAAATAAATACACAACTAAACATGAGAAAAACAGATACATAAAACATAAAAGAAATACATACAGCAATATGAAACAAATAGATACATAAAATGAGATTGATACATAAAGCAACATGAGACATATAGATACATAAAACATGGGACTGATAAATATAGCGACATGAGACAGATAAAAATAAATACACAACTAAACATGAGAAAAACAGATATTTAAAACAAAACATGAGACACATTAATGAATATGAGACAGACATATACATAGAACATGAGACAGATACATAAAACAATATGAGAAATAGATACGTAAAGTAATATGAGACAGATACATAAAATATAAGACAGATACTTAAAACAACAAATCAAACAAACAAATACATAAAACACAAGACATAAATACATGATAAAAATACAGGATAAAAAACAAACAAATACATAAAACACAAGACAGATGCATAAAACAACAAATAAGAGAAACAGGTACCTAAAACAAAACATGAAGCAACATGAGAAAAACAAACACATAAATCAACACATGAGACAAACAGATATCTAAAACAAAACCTGAGACACGTACATTAATAGATGTGAGACAAACAGATACATGAGATGACACAAGATAAACAGCAGGGACCTAAAACGAAACATGAGACAGATACATGAAGCAACACAAGACAAAAAAACAAGTGCTTACCTGCAAAACACCTGCAAGAGCTAAACACAAACAGTCCACTGATATATTCTGCACAGTGGCCATATCGTCCGCATTTTTCGTCTTTACACCGTGCTTGGATAATGTTAAACATCACAGAGGGCGGTAAGTCACATACTTCTTTAGTGCTATGAAAAAGACAAAAATAATAATTTATATTAAAACTGGAGCATTATTCATCATATAATGGTGGTGTTATAAATGGAAATACTTTATCTGTCATATCAGATTTTGTCATTTTTGGCCATCCATACATCCACTGTTCCATTAAAAACACTTGTAAACTATTTGCATGCTTTCATCCCTTATGGGTCTCCATACTCACTTGAGTGTTGAACTGATTTGATAGTTCATAGACAATAAAATACAATTACATTTTATTCAATTATGAAGGTTGTTCCAATAACTTGGACCAATTTTGAATGTGAATTAAGTTTAAGCATCTAATGATTTTTTTCTTTTTCTTTCAGATTTAACAACTTAAGTCTTTAGCAGTTTCAACCATAGAAAGATTAACAATCAAACATGTTAAAGTTTCAAGAGCGCAATTGGAAAAATTGTTTGTAAATTCAAACAAATTGGGTTGGTGGCAGATGTAATCATTTAATCAGGCCAGTGTGATACAAAAAAATATTATTTTTAGTTTATAATTGTTGACTCACCACATAGTCAATTTCAATCAGGTGGGATCTGCTCTTTTTCTTTTGTAAGCATCCTTTTAGAGTATAGCTACAATTATATGTGCCATTGTTATTATTCCAACGTTTCAGCTATTGTACCCTCCAGCCATATTTAGGTTTCTGGTAGAGTTGGTAACCTTCTGAGATTCTCAAACTGCACTCTTGATTCAATCTACAACAAACGCCCAAAGATGGCTGGAGGATACAATATCCAAAATGCCATGAATATAACAATCAAGATGAGGATACTAGTCCAAACAAATCAGTGTATTACAATAATTCTTCATCTGAAAGATGCAGACAAGAATTTGTTTTAGTTTAGTAAATCAAGAATTCTCATCTAAATGATTAAGCCAGGCAAAAGATTACATACATGAAAGTAAAACTGAAAATGTATATTGAAGATACTTCATGCCAGGAAATAATCAGGTACCGAAATCAAATTTAATGTCCCTCAGGAACCTTTGATCTCAGAAGAGTTGACCTGTAGTGACCCCAATATGTATTGGATTCATCTTAAAGGATACTGCAGTAAGTTTTGTACTCAGTGTCACCTCAGAATATCAAAGGCCTAGGTGCCTGAACGATTGGCCTAGAAGGTGACCCCAAAGCTTCCAAGTGCAGAATATGACCCCAAATCTACCAAGTGCATAATCAGGCATCAAAGGATGTCAGCAGGTGCATCAATATAAACAAGGAAGTGAACACAGCTGAACTTAAAAGAAACACACACAAGACACACAGATGACAGGAAGTTAAAGAAACACCCAACTTCAAACATTTGAAAGAAAGACCCAAAACTATAAACTTCTGGTTTAGCATTAAATTCACAGAGATCAGAAGTGAATAAACAATTATTTTACAAATGAAAACTTTAGTTTTGTATACTTATCAGATTTTACTAAAATACTATTACATGTTCCAAATAATCATCACACAGTTCAACCTGAATTAGATGGAGCTCAGAGGTGAATAAACAATTATTTTACGTATGATAAATTTAGCCTAGTATTCTTATTAGATGTTACTAATTTAACATTTAAGCTGTTTCATATGTTGATTGAGTTGGTTTTTTAAATAGTTTTTCAACACATTGTGGGTTATTTAAAGCCAAAATATATTTTTTAGATTGTAACAATATTTCTTTTTTTGCAAGTGAATATTATAAGAATTTTTTCCAGGTACAAATCGTATTATTTAATCCATAGCTGGGGGAAGAAGAGATGGATTCATACCTTCCCCAAGGGTACCTGTATGTAAGTGAAGTTTGTTATGACACATGAATTCAAATTCTCTTCTTCTCATTGTGTCCCAATAAGCAAGAATATTCTATACTTAGAAACTAATCATAAAGGACTCACTTGTTCCCACTAAAAGAAAAACAGCTACTCCGGAATGCCACATAGTAGTCCCCAAATTCAGGGTAAGGAATGTAAATCTTCTGCCGGTGCTGGTGTCTGTGAACTGAGTTGAGAGTGAGCAAAGCACCATTGGAACAATTTTCCAAATTGTTGATATCCGGGAAGCCATCTTTAACAATGCACATTGACACAGTTGCAGTCTGGTTCTCTGAATGGAACTGCATAAGAAAGAATTCCACAAAATCAACATTAAGAAGCATATCATTTTAGTAAGCAGCAGCAGCCAAAAAAAAAAAAAAAATATAATACCATCTGATTTACAGAAACAACTACTAGTGCAACCCATAAAAAATACTGGTAAAATTTAACAAATGTTTTGTCTTTTTTTTTTTTTAAATTTTACACCAAGCAAGGTGATAATGCCACAAAGACACAAGAGATTACTGAGATTGAAAGACAAAGAGAAAATTTTAGTGAAGAGAAAGGATAATCAAAGAACATGATTCAGGAAGACAGAAGATAGTGATTGACGTTGAATTTAAATTTGTTTTTTGAAAAACGTGACAGTGCAACAAAAGGACGAAAGAGAGTTCCAAATTGCAAGAAAAGAAAACACATACAGTTGCATCTTACTAGTTCAGCAGTAAAAAAAAAAATGAGACCTACTTACCAGTCTAGTAGTATGCTTAAATTTATGCAGTCAAGGTACCAAGAAGTAGATTTCATTAGAACAATTGCCATGAAAATATTTATAGAAAAGAAAGAGGGAAGCCTTGAGTCAAGATACTAGAGCAGGACAAATAACATTACAAACCCTTCTTTGTTTTTTGTCAAATTTTTGGACATATACAGCAGGAGCATAGACCAGATATGGCAGCAATATTCAATGCAGGAACAAATGGTAGCTTTTTAAATATAAATGATGGTTTCTGGCAAGATAAACTCTCTAACACGATGTAGTGAACCTTTCTTTGATTCAATATAATCACACTGCTTTATGTCTGTGGAAGACATTAGACTAAGAGGGTGAAAAGAGTTGTTCTCCTGGAGGCTAGCATCAGCCATGCTGATGGAAGGTAAAAATGATTCTCTAATTAAAAGATAGCTCCTGCCGAAAGATAGCGTGTCAAAAGGACAGGTTTTCTCTTGACGTTTTAATATTGTATACTCCCTGTTCAGTTTTTGTTTTAAAAAGCTATGTTACAGATTTTTAAGTAAACTCAAACATACGAAACTGGATTTAATCATTTTCTTTTTTCTCAAGAAATTTCTTCTTATTGGTTGGATTTCAGCCAATGAAGAAGGATGGAGATATCAGCAGCACCAGAATCAAAGACGAAAGAAGCTGAGCAGAGCATGAACAAGACTTCCACATGGGAAGACCACATGACCAAATGAATGCAACCAAGACACCAGAAACACAAAGGACAAATAAATATCAAATGGCGCGAGGTCATATGGACAGAAATCCTTGATAACACATAGCAATCATGTTATATGGTCAACTCAGTGCACTGCCAGCCTCCTTCTGCAAAAATGTGCTTGCTTTAATGGAGCCTGAAACTTTAGTATTTGATGAACAAAAGGAATTATTTGCATAGCCAGTACCACTCAGCTTGCTATCCCAACTATTTCATGAAGAAGCTAGGAGACACTTTCCTGCTTCATAACCAGATGTGCCGGGGTTCACACTGGCTCTGTTCTGGCAGGGCAGACATTTACTTTCTTTCTGCAGAGACAGCACACTAAACATTGTCTCTTTGACTGACAGGGAGCAGTTATTGTTATCAGTAGCAGTAAGCAGCTCCGTCTACATTTTGTTTCTGCTACAACTGGCAACAAAAATATTAAACACTAGCAGTAGAGCCCGGCGTTGCCCGGGGATGTAACAGTAAGAGATAGATCAAGTATCGACCATCATAAAGACTGAAAAACAAAAATTGACAAAGATTATTGTTTAAGGTTGACGGACATGCATGTCTTAATTAGGTTTTTTTTTTTTTGTTTCTTTTTTTTGTTTTTTTAAGAATTGGTCAAACCCAAACTCAAGCAAAAACATTGTTTTCAATTGTTATGAGTCTACTGATTGAATAGAATTTTATGATAAACAATTGTCTTGTAAATGGAATTTTAAAAGTATTCTGAATGTAAAAATAAAGAAAAAGGTGTGCAAGACAATATGAAACACTACCTGTCAAAAAAAAGTGAAGTTTTGTTGAAATCGGTTGAAAAATATAGGAAATCCGATCCCATATATAAATGAACACACACACACACAATCAACCTGGGTTTTATAATAAGTATAACTCGCTAACTCGATATTAATAAGTATAACTTGATATGAGTTGTCCCTCTTTCATTAATGCCTCTTAATCGTGTTTTCAAATTGATTTCGTGCAAAAACAATTGTGTTTTTCCAATTTTTGCTGCTGTCAGAACCACTGCAAAGTAATTTTACGTAGTCCTGTGAAGTTTTGTTGAAATCAGTTGAAAAATGTAGGAAATCCGATCCAATATATAAACGTACAGACACACACACACACACACACAATCTGCGTTTTATAATAAGTAAGATTATGAGATTGTTTATTTTCTAGAATATTTTTTTATTAAAAAGATTATAAAAATATGCCATATTTATCATTTACTATATAAATAAATAATTATGAAAACAAATTTAAAAATTAAAAAAAAAATCTTTGCAAACAAAAAAAAAAAACAAGAAGATTTATATAAACACATTATGACAAATAACTAATTATAAATTTTGAAACAAATGAATTTGGGGGATAAATCTTTCATTTGCTCTCACCACAAAGATTTACAAAAATGAGTTGAGAACTGAGAAACAAATGTATAAATGCAGTTTAATATGTTTTGATTTTATTTAAAATTGTAAAAAAATAGCTTTTTAAAACAATAAAAATCACAGAGTGAGTCTTCAATAGAAAAACAGTCCTTTTTACACACAGCTTTTTTGCTGGAATATTTGTTGAATTTTGCCCAATTATTAATATTATTTCCATATTATGGACTGGACTCATTTTAAAGTTGTCGGGGGCTATCAAATGGTTAGCTAAAGAAATAGTTTCAGAATATTAGTTTTTAGTGGCAGTGTATTTGCTTCAGACCTTCTGAGGCCGACATTCTAATATTGGACTTCAGTTATGTGAAGAAAAATTGGCCACCATTTCTAGTGATCAAGGGCCCAAAATAAAAAAAATTTGATTGTACCCATTGATACATATTGGATTTTGATACAAAAGGAATATCCCACATTAGCTAAAAAGGCCTTATCAGTTTTATTTCAATTTTTCTACTTCTTATTTATGTGAATTAGGCTTTTCAACCTTAAATAATATAAAAAATAAAAAGCAAGAAAGACTACACTCAACTGAAGAAGAAATGAGGTTCTGCTTATCACACATTCAATCAAGCATTGAAGAAACAGCGAAAAAACACCAGGCAAACGTTTCACACTAAATAAACGGCACAAATAGTTGAATAGAAACAGTGAAATAAAGTAAGTTCATATTTGTGTGTGTATTTTTTTTTTTAAATCTATGCTTTTATTTCATAACATTTAAATGTATACCCTTTAAAAATTTTGCTAAGTGTGCCATGGGATTTTCATTTGCACCTAGGTGTGCCATTGTTTAAAAATATTGAAAAATACTGTGCTAGACAATTTTTCTCTCCAGAATCTCTTACATGTTTATAAGCCTACCATTCATTCATGCTTTTAATATTGCTAATACACATGGCCTGGTGCTTTTGTTATATATTTAGAGATTTTTGATAAAATCCAAAGAAGAATACACAATATTATTGATTCTGACCTGACATCTCAGCTTCAGTCACTTATCCACTTGTGTAATATAGTTTCCTTGTGCTTTTTCTACAAATACTTTCATGGCAATCATTCTCATCATTTTACAGTTCAATTGACCAGATGTAACCATAAATTTTATGCTAACAGTTTCTCTTCTCACACTTCTCACTTGTGGAACTCTCATCCAGCTCCTTTTTTTCCAGTCATCTTCAAAAATTTAAATGCAATGTCAGTCATTATCTACTGTCTTCTTAATTACTCTTCTTTTATTGTTCTTTCTCCTTAATAATGTTTCTCTTTTTTCTTATTCTGTCACACTCAATAATCCCTTTTGTCTTAGTGGCTTTACTGCCTTGTTTGGGGTGAAATGACTTAAAATAAAATTGAAAAAAAATGAAAGAAAGGTTTATTTTACAAATTTTGTTATTAATTAAAAATTAATCATTTCATTATTAATGTTTGTATTAGACATGTACACTAACTTCATAAAGCAATATTATTGTAAAAATGATGGAAAATTTGTTCAGTGAAATTAAATTTATCAAAGCATACAAATATTTTTCTTTTCTGGACATTAACAATAAAAGAGAAATTACAGTCTTACACTATACGGTTACAAATAGAATCTGTTACTAAAAAAAATCATGTTAAAACTTCATATCATTACCACTGTAAAAAAAATTAAATAAAACTCATCTAACTCACCATGTGAGGCTTATTGAAGGTCACAGAGATAGCAAGGGTTCCACCTGAGTTGGATAAATACCTCACATTGAATCCCGTTACCAGACTGTATGTGTCAGGAACCATGATTGTGTTGTTCCTTTCTGGCATGAGAAAACCATTGGGAAATACATAGATGCTATTGAAATTCTCTGTGGAACTGCTGAACTGACCCAGCATAGGCAATGTAATACAGCTGAACACAGGGTTAGGATGTTGCCGGGACCGATTGATAAGTGACTCGCGGTCGGTTGTGTTGTCCATTAACCAAACATGTGGCGATTTAGCTTCACAACCTCAAAAAGAAAAAGTCAAAAAAAAAAAAGCTATTAGGATAATCAATAAATTGAGACAGTCTTTTATTTATAATGTCAACATCCTTCTTAATAAGATAATTCGCTGAAATATTAGGAAAACTTGATCTACATGGAAAAGATACTGAAATAATCAATAGTCTCTGTCAGAATTTCTGAAATAAGGAGTCAACATTATTTAATCAATCATTTGGATTATTGTCAACAACTTTACTGTTATTATCGCATTTCAGCTGTTGTACCCTCTGGCCTTCTTCAAGTATTTGATAATCCATGTAACTTTCAGAGTGCAGGACTAAATAAGTAAAAACATGAGATATCTCTAAGAATAGAATAAGAATAATCTACCCACAGAGATTAACTAAAAATTGTTTTAAATTTTTTGAAGATTATCCAGATCCATAAACACCTGAAGAAGGTCGGCAAGAACAGCAGTTAAAATGTAGTGATAATAACAACAAAGATGATGATAATAGTATTGGGATCAAGCATGTTGCATGTGGATAGAGAATGGCTTAAGTGAATACAAAAATAGAATGTGGAGTACAACAAGGATGTATTTTCTTCTTCTATGTGCAGTGTTGCTTTATGATCATGGCTCTCCTCACTTTCCTATCCTTAGTAGCTTTTAGCAATGTTTATTTTTTTTACTATAGTTCCCACTTCCTGTTCTGTCAGCTATTTGTATAGTAGTTTATTTGCTACTTGATTCTATTCCTCTTGTCTTCAGTATGTACTGTAAGTATCAAATTTTCCAAGCCTTCTTTCCTCATTATGTGTCCTAAAAATTTCAACCATCTCTTTCTGATTCTATGTATAAGCATCCATTTTTTTCCATTTTTCTTAAAACTTATTTATTATTTTTATTATTATTATTATAGGGATACAGAAGGTTATTATCTCGCTTTGACTGAAATAGTTACATAGGTGACATGATGACTGCTTATTAACAGCACATCATAGAGTGATAAAAGGGGCCAGTCATTCAGTTGATTTACAGCAGCCAAACTGAGAGACTGCTTTCTTTAGCCTGGGCCAAGGGGCCCAGTCTGGGGCTAAATCTGTCCCCTCTAGCAAATGCTACAGCTTATAAGCACATGGCACCATTTTCCTTTAGGAATATATCTTTCCCCGATATAGATTTGGGAAAAACCAAAGACTCGCCATTTCTCTTTCAGGGAATATGTCTTTGCCTGGAACAGAGTAGATGAATCCAGCCCATTTGAATCTGGAGTCCTAAACCTAGCTTCTCCAGAAACACAGAAGAATCCTCATATTACATGTAAGACTTTTCCTTTTTGTTTCATCTTACACTCTGCTTGCTGTGTAGATATATGATATATTATTCTCTGCATGGGACACATGTACATATGTATGTATAATTTCCTGTATGACTGAGAATAAAGCATGTTTGTCATTACTTTTCCTTTCAGCCAATCTATTCCATCTGTGAATTATGCTGTTATTATATAATGGATATAGTAATGCCCATAATGAAGGAAATATAAATGGGAGAATAAAATCTTTCTACCATAGTTTTTTCCCATGATATTATTATTATTAGTGCTGTGTCCTTCGATACTGAGCCTTATAATTACAAAGGTAGCTTAAACTAAAAAACATTATCTTCCAGAAATACTCTTTTCAACAATTTTTTGATGAACCAGTTTGTCTTATATCCACTCATGGTCATAAGCTTTGGTCCAACTACATAAAATGATTATGCAACTTTCAAGATTTCCTCAAAACAATGTCCAAACCACCCACAAAAAAAAAATGTTTGTACTACTAGAAGAGTTTTAAGTGCAAAGTGAACCAGAAGACCACAAAAGTAAGACTGTGAGAATCTTTGTAATCAATCCAAAATTAACAGCCAGACAAATGAGAAATGAATGCAGTCTTAACAGTGAGACTTCAATTCATACATTACATAGAATATTAAGAAAAAAAAAACATATTGAATGGCTGTATATCAGCCACAAAAACATTAACAAAATATATTGGAAGAGAAAACTGAAGTGGTCAAAAGAACATAACAAGAGATGCTTGAAAGTGGCAAAAAGTAATTTCTAGTGACGATTGCAAAACAGAGTTACATATTAATGCAGGAGAATATGCAAAAATGCCAGTGGGAGAAGGAAGCAATGAAAGAACTACTATAAAAATGGTAAAATTTGCTGGTGAGGTTGCATCAAAAGCAATGGTAGAAGAAAATTGGTATAAGTTGAGGAAAACCTCAACAGTGAAAGCTATATTTGTTTATTTATATTCAGACTATTGTTCTCATCTTTGTAGTTTTTTATCACAACATTTCAGACATTGTGCCCTATAACCTTCCTCATGGTATATACCAGAGAATCCTTCAGGTAAATCTAACCTCTTTATTTAATCAAGGGAGTAGACTGTTCTCATTCCACTGCTCATGTTTAGGGACATCATCATAGCAGTACTAAATAAAAGTAAGAACATGATATCCCTAGACATGAGCAGGGGACAAGAATAGTTAACCCCCATAGAATAAATAAATGGTTCAGTTCAGAATTCTTTGTAGGCTACCAAGATTGATATATACCTGAGAAAGGGCACAACAAAGATGTGGGCAATATGTCATATATAGTGTAAATAATGATAACTTCTCATCCCAGATATTCAAACAAAAACTATATTCGTTTACTACTGTCTAATTTTCTGCAGGCTAAGAAGACAGAGAAGTTTTTCAGCATAATTGTGCCCTTGCTGCACATCCCACACAACAAAAAGGTTTCTAATGGATGAAAATGTTCAACTTTTGGAAGACTGGCCAGTACAAAGTCCTGATCACAATATAATTGAACCATAATTGAAAGGAAACTGAAGAAACAAATCCTCCAATGAAAACTACACACTGTCCAAGAGCTTTACTGCCAAGGAAAATGGGAAAAAAAAATTCCCAATGGGAAAATTTCGACCTTGTTCTATTCAATGTCATCTTGAGTTGATGCAGTTATTCAAGGCAAAGGTAGCAACACTAATTACTGAAAATACTTTGATGTTTTTTACTTTGATTGTTAATAAAGATCACTTTTTGCAAAAAAAAAAAAAATCCCTTTTTCAGCATAACTATGCTATCATCTACCATACAGCATTAAAAATGCTCTAACTTGTTTTCTCTTACTCAAAGATCATAAAATGTACTAAGAAAAGCATTGTGATAATAACTCCCAATTTTTAGATAATATGAATAAAAAATAATTAATCTATCATGATGGCCCTAAAGTTTTGCATGTCAATGGCATATATATATATATATATATATATATATATATATATAAAATGCATGTATCATTAAATAATATAGACAAGTTTTGCCTATTTATTTTAAGTAAGTTCCTTTTATATTGTCTGATAAGCTTAATAATATTATCATTGAAAGACGAATGGAAATCACCATATTGATACATGTTTAAATCCAATCTAAGCTTTCAGCTTACATAAGCCATTATCAAAGATGACAATTACTTTTCAATATATCAACCAATACACAGACAAAACAATAATGATAGTCTGTTTTTGTTGTGTGTTGTTCAGGTTAGGTTTCAAGTGTTTTATGTATATAGCTTCAAGAATTTTTAGTTTTTGTTATATTTTTTTCATGTTTAAGTATAGTTGTGTTTTCAACAAGGATTTTCCAGAATTGTGTACGCAGCCAGGCTTGTCTATACTATTTAATAAAACATGCATTAATGAAAATTGCTGCCTAAATATACACAATATAAATATATATATATATATATATATTATATATATATATATATATATATACCAAAAAAAGCTTGTTCAGGAGTTTGAGGGTCACTAAGTCTTTATATATTCTCAACATTGAAAGCTCTTTTGGCTGCCATTTGATCTGGGTTTTCATTTGCATGAGACTTTCATTTCCTTGCTGCAGCCTTTTGATTGCAATCTGGTCTTTTGATGGCAAAAATTTCTTTTTTGTGAGGCATACTGCTGCCGTAAGCAATAGACTACAATAAACTATAGAAGAACTCAAAATTGATTGCTGCATTTAAGTATTGCATTAATATTTAAGCTTACCTTTTGAAAGTTCAATGATAATTCTTCTGACACCACTTAATTTAAAGAAAAACTGATGTACGTAGGTCCTTAATTTCCATACAAACAATTATTTTTATTTCATGGGTGACTTTTGCTGGATTTCAAAATTAATTTCAAATATTCCCAAATTTATTTCTAAGTTATAAAAATTGTCATTGTATAAAATTTTGTTGCAAAAAAATCATGTAAAAAATTGCTGAAAATAATCTCAGTAATGAAAATTTAGGAATCCCAAATTTCAGGATTGCGTGTCCAAATCCAGCCTTGAATGTTTTCAATTTACTCGTAGAGCCAGCCTAATTCCAAAATGGTATGACATGTTGGGCTATGACCTTTAAGAGAAAAGTTGAAAACGTGTGACACAGTGACACACTAACATTCACATTTATTATATAGATAAGGTATATTTAGGTAGCAAGAATTTATTCAAACCTTCAGGCATTGTTGATTCATTTAAAACTTCAAACTATATTTGGATATATATATATATATATATATATATATATATATATATTAGTTATGGGACCTTACCCATAATAACATAATGGACTATTCCATACGTAATAAATACTGTGCCTCAAGAGGAAGCAGGGAGTTCAGTCTGAAGTCTGGAGTGAGGTCCGTCAGAAGTCTGTCAGAGCGAGTCAGAGGCAGTCCGAAACAGAGTCGCATTCAGACAATTACTACAAGACATTGGAATAGTGCTACTGGTCGAGACTACATTGTTCTCCCTACTAAACCTGATTGTTCAAACTAACACTTTCTACTTCTCTGTATATATTCCTGTTTGTAATATATTTGTGTTATTCCATACCCGTGCTTGAGTTCATTCTTTATTGGTTGTAACTTGGACTATCACCATGGTACAAGGAATAACATATATATATATATATGTATGTGTGTGTGTGTATTTAGGCAGCATTTTTTCATTCATAGATGTTTCATTAAATAATATAGACAAGTGTGGTCTGTTTATTTTATGTAGATTCTTTTCATAATGTCTGATAAGCTTAATAACATTATCATTAAACGAAGAAAGAAAATCACAATATTGATACATATTCTTTAATCCAATCTAAGCTTTTGGCTTACATAAGCCATTATCAAAGATGACAATTACAGTACAGTATATTAAGCAATACACAGACAAGAATGTGATGATAGTCTGTTTCTGTTTACATGGATGGTTTTTCGCTGCTTGGAAATAATCATTATCGTACAAAAAATTTTGTCTAAAAAATCAGGTAAAAAATTGCCGAAAACAATCGCAGTAATGAAAACTTGGGAATCCAAAATTTCAGTATTGCAGGTCCAAATCTGGCCTGGAATGTTTTTAATTTGCTCACAGTGTCAGCCTGATTCCAAAATGGTATGATATGTTGGTCTATGGTCTCTAGGAGTAAAGTTGAAAACGTGTGACACACTGACATTCACATTTATTCTATAGATAAGGTATATTTAGGTAGCAAGAATTTATTCAAACCTTCAGGTATTGTTGATTCATTTTAATCAAACTTCAAACTTGTTTGTATATATATATATATATATATATATATATATATATATATATATATATATATAATATAGTTTTTGTTTATATGTTATTTTTATAGCTACAAATATTTAAGTAAATGCTCTGTTTATTATAAACACTATTAACTACATTTACTAGCTTGAATGTCAAAGAAAATATGTGTCCTCTGACAGTAATCGAAACTTTGTCCATTTCATTATATATATATATGAATGATAGGATAAGTAACAAATAGAAAATGTTTATGAATTTAACATTTTCATTTTATTAAAGCTTCATCTGATGAAGTTCTAATAAAAGGGAAACATGTTAGAATTACAAACATTTTCTACTTGTTCCTCATCTTATCCTTCTGTCAGATTCCAATTCCTATTTGATCCCAATTTCGTTATCTGATGGAGTTTTAATAAAATGGAAACATATTAGATATGTAAATATTTCCTATTTATTCCTTATCCTATCTTTCTGTCAGATTCCAATCTTTAAAATTTAGCAATTGAGCTAATTTTTTAATATTTTGTATATTGTTATATAGTATTAATAATCCAAAAGTTTCAAATAATTTTTATGAGTAGAAAATCACTTATTGTAAAATTATTCAAAAACTCAAAAGACAATTGGTGTATAATTATAAGGCCATTTAAAAAAAAGAAGAGCAGTACAAGTTAAGATAATTTAATTCAACAATCGCTTAAAATTTTATAAATTATTATTAATAACTCACCAGCATTTTTCACCTAACAAAATTGACATAAACTATGCCTTTGGGTAGAAAATTAAGTGAATTTGAAAAAGGTCAAATAATGGCACTCAAAAATGAAAATTTGAGTAGTAGAGAAATTGCTGTTAGGATTAAGCGTCCAAAAATGGGTTATTAACAACTTTTTATCAAACACGGAAGAATACGGAGCCAAGAAAAGAGCCGAAAGAAGCAAGAAATTAAGTGACCGGAATGTCAGTGAAATCAAAAAAGAAGCAACCAATTCTGTCACATTGTGTTCCAAAATCCAGACAACTTTGGAATTGGGTGTTTCATGCTGGTCAGTTTGGAAAGAATTTAACAGATCATCTGAGTTCAGTTATGGCAAGCTTATAAACGCTCCATGTTTGATCGAGCACTATATGTTAGGGTACTTCAATTGGGTCAAAGCTCATATGACTTGGGACAAGCAATGGGAAGGTGTTGATGAAAAAAATTTAGTTTGAATGATCCGGATGGCCAGTCTTATTATTGGCATGACCTTAGAAAGAAATTGGTCTTTTCCAAGCGTGTGCAAGGAGGAGGAAGTGTTATGATTTGGGCGGCATTCGAATTTAAAGGCAAAACTCCAATTGTCTTCATTGACACAAGACTTGATGCTTTGAGTTATCAGAATTTATTGTCTACTGCTCTCTTTGCCTTTGAAATGGTGGTTGAAATTGAGTTTTACAGCAAGACAATACTCCTGTTCACAAAGCCAAGTCCACTATGGAGTGGTTTCAAGCTAACCAAATCAATGTTATGGATTGGCCTGCCTGATCACCCGATCTCAATCCTATCGAGAACCTTTGGGGGATATTGGTTAGACAAATATACAAGAATGGGCAACAACTTAATAATAAAAAAGAGCTCAAAAGTGAAATTTTGAAAGCCTAGAATTCAATTAACCAAAACAACACTCAGAAGTTAATCTATTTTATGAAAAAAAGTGTTTGAAGTAATAGCCAATCATTGAAAACAAACTAAATATTAATTTCTATAAAATTTTAGTGTTTGTCACTTTTGTAATAAAAATTTTTTAACAGCCTATGCACTATGCACTAATCGTTTTACGAATTTTTAATATAATTTTACAAGAACTGATTTTCTATTCATAGTAATTATTTGAAACTTTCAGATTATTAATACTATATAATAATATACAAAATATTAAAGAATTAGCTCAATTGCTAAAGTTTAGATATAAAATTCAGCTGGCCTTATAATTATGCACCAAGGTGTACATCAGTTGTATGAAGATGAGTTTGTAACTTTAGGTTTCATGCATTTGTGGTCATCAGATTGCAACTGAATATGTTAGCTCTATCACAGATATTGAGCACTTTCCATGAAGTAATGCACACACACACACACACACACACACACACATATAATATATATATTTAGTATTAATACTGTTATGGAACCTGACCCATAATAACATAATGGACTATTCCATACGTAATAAATACTGCACCTCAAGAGGAAGCATAGAGTTCCGTCTGAAGTCTGGAGTGAAGTCCGTCAGGAGTCTGTCTGTCAGTCAGAGCGAGTGAGTGAGTCAGTCGAGTCAGAGGCAGTCCGAAACAGAGTTGCGTTCAGACAATTACTACTAAACCTGATTGTTCGCACTAACCCTTTTCTACCTTTCTGTATATATTCCTGTTTGTAATATATCTGTGTTATTCCATATCCATATTCGAGTTCTTCTTTATTGGTTCTACCTTGGACTATCACCGTGGTACAAGGAACCGGACCATAACAAATACAAATAAAATTTGTTATTTAGATGACTAATGTTCAGCACCTCAAATGCTGGAGTTTCATATATTAACTTTTTGTAATTGTTCGATCCTCTCTTCAGGAGGCTTCACCAATTAACTGCTGTTTTTCTCACTTTGTATTTGCTTATTACCAATTTTGTGTTTTATAGGATTAAATGAATGCTTACATTAATTCTTAATTTTATTTTAAATTTTCTATGTATTTCTAATGTAAAATTAGTGCATTCACACCATACATGCAGAAAGTCAAAATTAAATCTGACTTAATTACTAGCCACCGATAATATTTTTTATTTTACATTTTCAATGCAAAATATACAAATTAACCGTCAATATTTGCTTTACACAAATTTTTGATCAAAATTTGCTGAATTTAGTGCTTTATCATCATCTTTTCCCAACCACTAAAACCGCAAAGATATAATAACAAAAAATATAATAACAAAATAAAATATAACAAAATAAAATATAATAAAAAAATAAAACCTAAAAACTGGATTAGCTGTCATGCTATAAAGCAAGAGAAAAAAAACATTGCCATTCTTAACACTTTCGTTATGACAATTAAACTGAACAATAGAATATGTGTCAAGTACTTACTTTGAGACTCGGCTTTCCACGTGACGTCAACAAGAGCTGAACTATTTATGTCTCGCAGGTAGAAACCCACAAAATTGAAGCCTGCAAGATTTGGTGACATGACTTTTAGCCGACACTTCTCAGTTGAATTTGTGCAGTTGACAAGCAGATCATCTAGATCAAATGGCGGCATGTTACCATTTCCCACAGAAACGTAGATGGGACAACCACCCAAATCTGTATTGTTTACCGTACAGTTGAGTACAGAAAATTCATACTCATATGTCAAGGGAGGAAGTGCCACTCTGGAAAAAAAAAAATTAAATTAAAAAAAATATATTTTTAATTTTTTTAAATAAATAAAAACAAAATTAGTTAAAATTATCTTAATTTTTTTATTTACCAAATCATGCAGATTTCATTAATTCGTTAAAAAGAGATTTTTATAAATAAAAAAAATTAAATTAATCAGTTGCCATAATTATATATTTCTCAATACCAAAGTCCATTTAATGGTCTTGCTTGACTGTTTTAGAATTTTTGTAAAGTCTATGATGCAATGGAATAACCAGTCACCCCTATGAATGATTACACTATAGGTAGTAAGCACCTATAAAGTCAACTGTCTACGAGAGACTTGAGGAAGAGTGAGAGAGAGAAGACGCAAGAACGTCCGACCTTCCAATTAGTGGCACTCACTACTAGATTGACCTGTGTGTATAACTGTACCGTATTTCATATTGTACTGATTGTGTACAATAAACCTTTCTTCTATTATCCACCTGGTGTTAAGTATTTATTCCCTTAGCATGGAATATAACAGTCTATTTGTGCCTTAGGACACCCCTGAAGTGGTTTGTAAATGATTTTATCTGAGCTTGAAGTGTCTGGTGATTTATACCAGTAAAATCTAGATGTGAAGCTTTCAACCAACCATGAGTAGGGAAAAAGTAAATAAATAAAGAAAAACTTTCAGGATCAAGTGCCACTCAGCTGAAAGCTATAGAATTCCAGTCAGAGGATTATATAATCAGGTCACATTCTAGAAATATGTAAGTCATGTTTAGAAAGAGAAATAAGATTTTCAACAAGTCACATTGATAGCAGTCACTTAGGAGAAGTAAGAATAAAAAAAAACAAAGGATCCGAGGTGCTACCGAAATAATTCCAAAGAGGGTGCTAGGTTCAACTCAAAAGTCAGCCAGTGAATGAAGAATATTGAAAACGAAACTTGCTCACTGTGACATACTTTTAAATTCTGATCCTTTGGTAAATTTACACCAGTTTTTGTTTACATCAATGCAAATGCAAATTGTTAGGTGAAGATCTCTAGATGCAAAAAAAATCAGACTAATGGACATGGGTAAATGTTCACATGGTATTACAGTTTATAATCAAGTATTTTATATACTCGAGTATAGTGTGAGTTTTTATGATCAGATTTTATGCAAAATATAAGAGGTTGCACTATACACAGGTAGTTTTTTCTTGAAGGGTTAAAATTTATGCATTTTCAGATACCCTAATTTGTCTAGTAGGCCTACATTCTCATAGTACCTTTGGCTAACAGTACAAATAATCTCCTTTAGTATTATGTACTAGGGAGGTATAGTGGGATAATGGATAGCAGCTCAGATTGAGGAATCGGAGAGCTGAGTTCAAATTCCAGTCAAATCCATTACATTCACTTATGTGCTAATACCCTTAGGAAAGGTATGAATCCTCTTCTTCTCCCCACCCCCAGCTATGTGTAAATAGCAGGACAGACTGGGTTTTTATAGCCTTGGATGACAACTGAAAGAAATGGCAACCTACTACGGGAGAAAAATCTGCCTCGTCAGTAATGTATCAAAAGATACATGATAGCCTAAGCGTGTATCACGCATGGCACATAACTGACTGAACATCTTCTGGTGTTTGAAAAAAAACTAATAAAAAAATAATATTTTCTTTTTCATTTTAATTATTAATTAAGCAATCAAGAGGCACGGTTGAATATTGGATAACAGCTAGGGTTAGGTTCGAATTCCAGTCGAATCCATTACATTCACTTATGTACTAATACCCTTGGAAAGGTATGAATCCTTTTCTTCTCCCCACCCCTAGCTATGGGTAAATAGGAGGACAGACCGGGTTCTTTAGCCTACCGCAGAAAGAAATGGCAACCTACTGCAGGGAAAAATCTGCCTTGTCAGTCATGTATCGAAAGATACATGATGGCCTAAGCATGTATCACGTATAGCACATAACTGACTGACTGGTACTACACTATTTACTGGTATTACTGACAAAAAGGTTGTCATATCAGACAATTTCACAGAAAAAGAATATAGCTACATGGATAAATTTGAATATTGCCAGCTGTTTAGCTTTGTTGCTAGATCAATGAGGTTTTATCTTGGTATTTTTTCTATATTCATGTTGCTTGGTAGATAGTCATGGGATATGAAAAAAGGCCTGTGTCACGGGAGAGAGAAAGCAACAACAGATAATGGTGAATTAAGTCAAAAAATAACAATTATCATCTGACCTTGCAGTGAACAAATCAAGGACAGGAAGATTGTTTTTTTTTTCACTTTTTTGTTTTTTTTAAAGAGGAACAGATAAAATTTTCCAAATGTTTACACGAGTTGCTACTGTCAATTAATCTTATTCAATTTTAGGCTTATGGCCACATCACGTTGAAACACTGGTTCTTTTATGATCAATAAAGTTAAGCAACATCAAGCTTGATTCAGTACCTAGATGGGTGACTGCTTGGGAATACCAGGTGCTGTAAACTTGGATGTGTGGGTGGTGTAATGAAGAATGGCTCAGAATTGTCAATAAGAGAGCCAGATTTCAATTGCCGTTGGGTTTGTTATATTCACTTATGTGCAAATTCTCTTGAGAAAAGCATGGATCCACCTCTTCTCCGCCCCCCCCAGTTATGTTAACTATTAAAACTTGTATCCCTGAACTATTATTATCTAAGAAAAAAAAAAAAAATTCTTACAGTCAGGTTTTAAATAAAACTGCAAAGTGTTCATGAGCCGTAGAAAATGAATCAATCAATCAATCAATTTCTTTCTCTTCAAATATTTTAGATAAATTAAAATATTACTATATTAAAAAAAATATTTTAAAGGAAAATTTTACTTATTTTCTGTAAGTTTTTCCATACCCACAAACTGAAAGGATAACTTTATTTTTTATGCCATTTTTCCTACACTAAAAATCATGACTCTCTCAGTAGAGAAACACCTTAAGGTCTTAGTGGTATTTATCAAAAAATTCAGAACACTTAAAAATAAAGAAACTGAACCAAAGATATAAACAAATAATAATATAAATTCGTTTTGGCCATGGAACTGATTTTACGAGGCGCATCAACCACAGCCAAAGGAGTGATGACTGAAGAACAGCCAGTCCTTCCCCCTTCAAGGGCTTTTATGGATGATATCACAATTCTCGTCTCTTCTAAAATTGCTGCCAATAACCTGTTAGAAAAGTATCATGATCTTTTCATATGGGCAAGAATGAAGGTAAAGCCCAAGAAAAGTCGAAGCCTGTCATTAGTCAGGGGATCTGTTAAGGAGATTCACTTCAAAGTTGGTGATGACATGATACCAACAGTTAAGGAAATGCCAGTAAAGAGCCTCGGATGGCTGTATGCAATTCCACTGACTGATCGACATTGGGGCATAGAGGTTCATAAATCAGCTTTAAAGGGACTAATTTTGATTGATAGAACCTATCTGCCTGGCAAAATGAAGGCGTGGTGCTATCAACATGGTCTACTACCCAGCCTTTTTATGGCCTCTGCAAATGTATGAAATTGAGCGCATTGAGCAAGTGATCAATAAGTACTTGCATAAGTGGCTTGGAGTTCCTCCTTGTTTTTCGAAAGTGTGGCTGTATACCAACTCCGGACATCTGCAGCTCCCTATACATTCATTAGTGGAGGAATTCAAGGTTGAGAAGGTACGCCTTCAGATGATGATGAGAGACTCAGCTGATGATTGCATATGGAGGGTGCATCCAGAGATTAAATCTGGTACAAAGTGGTCAGCTGCAGAGGCCACACAAGAAGCAGAAACCAGCCTGTGAGTCAGAGATATCATGGGCATGATTCAATCATTGGGCCGGATTGGGAAACACAACACACAAATACTTCTCCAAGGAGAAAGCAAAGGGAAAAAGGCGTATGATAATTGAAGAAATCAAAATGTTCGAAGAGGAGCATAGAATAGGTACTGCTATTACTCAAGCAAAACAGTGTAAGTGGACAACATGGAATGATATCGAACCCATTAAACTTTCATGGAATTCATTAATTGCAATGGAACCATTGCTGATATCTTTCCTTCTTCGATCTACATACAATCTTCTCCCAAATGAAACAAACCTGAAAATGTGGGGATACACAGATACAGATCTCTGTTTTTCATGTCAAAAAGACCGAGGTACCTTGCGTCATGTGCTTTCTGCTTGTCCACAATCACTCCAGATGTACACGTGATGACACAACAAGGTATTAGAGGTGATAAGGGATCTAATAAGAACATAATGTGAGACAACAAATCAACAGCTTGTGGCAACCAAGGAAACTAAGATCGAATTCCATAAGGAAGGTGAATGCCCTGCAAAGAAAAAACAAACAGCCCCCAATATAAAGGTGCTGAGTGGTGCCAGTGATTGGAAGGTTTCAGTGGATCTAATGACATCCTTAAAATTTCCAATACACATCGCACAGACAGATAAGCATCCCAACATGGTGTTGTGGCCTGACTCAAAAAAGACTGTCTTCCTAATAGAGTTAACAGTCCCTTGGGAAGAGAACAGGGTGGAGGTGCACGAACTAAAGAAAAACCGGTACGAGTCACTGCGTGCCAAATGTATGGAAAATGGTTGGACGTGTAACGTGATGACTATTGAGATTGGGTGTCATGGGTTTCTGGAACATTCAGTCATTTCCTTCTTTTCAAAAATAGGCATCACAGGCCATTGGTTGAAAAGCATTTCACATCGCATTCAAAAAACTGTTTAACATGTGTCAAGTTGGATTTGGTCGAGATCAAAACAAGCAAATAAAATGCGCGCAACATCACGACCTAACACGCGCAAGTGAAATATTTGCGT